TCCCCCGACATCGAATAAAGTCGACAGGTTTCCGGCCGATTTTACTGATAAACGCTCTCCACCGATCTCTGCAAGCTCACATGGTGATTTTAAATAGTTAAAATGAACCCAAAAGAGGTAAATATATAACGAAAAGTTGCAGTTTTGTGCAAAATTGGAAAAACCATCATAATCAAAGGATTATAATAATAACATCTCAATGCAAATTGTACTATGTTTGGTGTGCATCATACTGTGACCCGAACCGATGCCTATGGGAGCAAAAATTGCAAACTTTTTGGTGTGCATCATACTCGCTCTCGATATCTCTTTTTACAAAAGATGTAAATGCCACTTCTAATCGTGATCACCAAAAAACATATTAAAAAGCTAATCTAGTGCAGTCAGATAATCAATTATATAACGCTAGTGATATTTGGTAGTTTCATATTTATCTCAATAATCAGTTTACTGCAACTACACTTGTCTAATATATGAATTTGATTATTTTTACCCTAAATAATGAAATTATCATAAGCATAATCAGTTTATGCAACACATAAAACGGATTAATGCAACTTCAAATCATAACAAGCCGTTTGAATGTCATCCAGGCATCCCATAACAACACATAACAATTCCATTACAATGCTTTTTCTAGGTGCAATTTGTCCATTTATTGCTTTACAAATTAAATTGTACTTCAAATTACATTGGCTATATAGAAAATTCATATACATTCTAAGAAAATTTGCAAATGACATCTTTTTATGGCGGTGTTTCTTTTTAACTAGGCCAACATAATACAGTAAGTTGTATGTGGGTGTTTCTATTTTGTGCAAGGGCTAAATACAAGAAGTATTGATTTATTCATCACTATCACTGTATCTTAGTTCAAAATAATTGTTATATAAATCTATTCAATTATAGCAATGTTGGTAAAATATAAATTAAGCGGATTTCACTGATAATAATGGGTAATTTTCAAAATATAATGTCCTAATTAGCCAAAGTGAAACTACAATGTTATGAATGAGTAGATGTTAAGACTACAATGCCTTGATAAGAAAAATAATTATAATAGAAATAAATGAAAGTAGGATGCTACTTTTGTATTTAGCAAAAAAAAACATGCAAAAAATATTGTACCTGTTTGACTTAGATAGAAGGGCAACCAAAAGAGAAAGGTGTATGCAACAAGCTTTGAGAAAAAAAGGCATAATGCAAATGGAATTACTCCGGGGATGAAACAAGCTCCAACAAAACCAACGCCTCTTCGATTAACAGAATGAATGTGAGGAACGGGGGCCTCCTCATCATTGGATGTACCCTCTTCCCACATCGTATTATCATCATGAATCGATCCTCTCGCATTTGGAGAAGAGTCACTTGGATCCAGGAAACCTACATCTTCTGGATAAGCAGCCAAGAACAAAAACACCATGACTCCGGCTGCCATGATAAAAGCTGCAGGAAGAATAAAGCACCACCCCCAACCGTAATCAAGAACACTGGCGGCAAGAAGAGAACCACTGATATTGCCGACAGATGTATGAGCATTCCAAATCCCCATTATCAATCCCCTCCGCCTTTTACCAAACC